TAGGATGCCAGTACTGCACACAGTGGCCCAACCTGCTGAGCCACAATGCTAGTCCTTTAGATACGTTCTTACCTGTGGTCCTGGGGGAGAGTGACTATATATGGTAAAAAATAAATATATAGGGATGGGCATTTGGCTTAGTGGTTATGATGCCTTAACCTAATCAAAAATGTCTGGGTTGGGTCCAGTGCTGTGGCATTATAGGTTAGGTCTGCCTGTGGTGCTGGCATCCCATATGAGCCCTGATTTGTGTCCCAGCTCCTCTTCTTCTGATCCAGATCCCTGCTTGTGGCCAGGGAAGACAGTAGAGGATGGCCCAAGTGCTTGGGCCCCTGTACCCATGTGGAGGACCCTTGGAAGGTTCCTGGCTCCTGGCTTCAGATCAGCCCAGCTCCGGCCTTTGTGGTCATAGAATCAATGGATGGAAGACCTCTCTCTCTCTCCCCGTAACTCTGCCTCTCTAGTGAATGATTAAATCTTTTTAAAAAAGTGTCTGGGTTCATGTTCCTGCTCCACTTTCAGTTCTGGGAGGCAGCAAATGATGACTCAGGCAGTTGTGTTCCTGCCACCATATGGGAGACCTGGATTGAGTTCTGGTTTTTGGCTTTGGGTTGACCAAGCCCTGACCAACATGGGCACTTGGGGAGTAAGCTAGCAGATGTGGGCTCGTTCTCTCTCCCTCTCTCTCTCTCTCTCTTTCTCTCCCTCTCTCTACCTCTCAAATAAATGAATACATACATACACACATACATACACAAAAATATATGATTACCAACTGTATAAGATCCATTTTGGAAATAAAAAGGGTGCAGTTAACAAGAGCAGCAAAGTTGTCTTGTTTTAGAGAGATAACCAGGGAAGATGTTTCCCAGGAGATAACATTTAGACTGAAACTTAGGATAAGGAGTCAGTAATGTGAAATGTAGACTATCCGTGAACAGGAAGTGTGAAGGGATGGGAAGGGACAGAGCTTGGTGCCTTCCAGCACTGCGAGTAGCTCAGTTTGGCTGCAGCTGAGGGCCAGGGCAGAGGAGAGTGGCTGGGGTTGGAGAGTGGGGCAGAGCCGGGGTGTGCTGGCCCTGAGGCTGAGTCAGGAGCTTGGATAGAATTCTAACCAGTGGTAGCCACTAAAGAGAATGACATGGTCTAGTTAAGTGCTGACAAAGATCACTCAGGCTGCTGTGTAGAGAAGAAATTGGAAAGGAACAAAAATCAAAGAAGGAAGATCAGTTCTCAGGCCTTTTTGAGTATTTTAGACAAGAGATAATAGTGACCCTGTCTAAGATTGAGAAGGTGGAGCAGCCAGCCATATTTGGGACTGACTGATGGGCGTCATTGTCATGCAGCATTGGAAATTCTACTCAGATGTGCCATATGCACATACACATATATGTATGCAAGTAAATGTTATATAACTACAATCCAACATGCACATGTATGCACGTATAGAATGTATTTTTCACGTATGTACATATATGAATATATAATTTATGAATTTATATGTATATGTGTAATTCTGTCTTTCTTTTTTAATGGTTAACAGAGGAATATGATTTATAAGCAGCAAGCAAGTTCAGTTTTTAGTGTTGCCTGGACTTTGTAACTGCCTTGATTTTGCATGCACGCACATACTGTTTTCTTTTCTAGGATTGCATTTCCCATTCTTTTTTTATTTGCCTGCCCCCATTCTACTATTCAAATTTGGTGAAAATACTATCTTTTGCAACCTTTATTTTTTTGCAACTGTAAATAATCTCTCTCTCCTCAGACCTGCTGGGGAACAGTACCTCTCCCATGGCTCTTACTGTATTTGAAATTAGATGTGCCCTGTACAGTCTTCCTCTTAGCCTTTTGAGCTTTTGAGAAAAACAGTGTGCTATATACGTAATATGGTATAAAATACCAGTTGGGAGTTATGCTGGCTCAGCCCCATGTCAGATCTCACCCAGGTCCTGTGTTGGGCTCCAGATGACACAGTAGCACCTCTGTGTCATGGTCACCCTGCCTTCCCTGCCATGGCATGAAAGGCTATCTGAGTCCTTCCCTACCACAGAGGGCCATGGAAGACCTGGAGAGCCACACTCAGGCCTCTTCCTGTTTAATCAGGTCAGGTTGTCAGTTTTACTTGGATGCAGCCACCCCCACCTATGTGTGGTGGTCACCCTGCCAGTTCTCCGTGAGTCCTACCTCACCCCCGGAATTTGATTTGAATCAGGAGCTCAAGCAACTGAAAGCAGTTTGTTTCCCCTTTGTCTCTTCCTTTGCTGTACTCCACTGTGGTGTGGGGCAGGCACAGTTTTTACCTACCCTTTCCATCTGGATAGAATTCACCTTCCATCATATCTGGGTCTTCCACAGGGCAGCAAACCTTGTGGCCCTGCTGTCATCTTCATCCCTTCTTGTTTTACAGGGGCACTCCTCAGACCTGAATCAACCAGGCTGCCTCTTGATATGGGAACTGTAGGACTAAACTAAGGATTATCAAGGTTAAAGATACATTGATTTAATCCTTCCTTCAAAATTTTTTTTTTTTTTTTTTTTTTTTTTTTTTGTATTTGTGGCCCATGTTGTCAGCACTAGCATTAACTGAGATCTTGTTTGGCTTATGTAACTAAAATTGCTCTCTTCTACTGTTGAGTAATCTAAATGCCCTAGCCAGGTAATGAAGGTTTCCATCATGTAGTCTCAAGCCAGCTTCTCTGTGGCCTTCTCTCTCATTGCTCCTCTTCCTCAGTGGAATTGGGCTCCTTCATGTTTCTTGAATATGCATAATTTGTTCTCACTTTGATGTTCCGGCTCACATTTTCCATTAAAGTTCTACACATTCTCAAGGCCTGGCTCATGCATACTTCTAACAGCAAAACTCAGAGCCTTTCAACTTGGAATAATTGCTCCTTCCTCTTAGCTCTCCTGGAACGTTGCCTTTATGGTGAACCTTATCACCTTCTGGTTTACATGGTAATTATTAGTGCTCATGTCTGGTTTTTTTTTCAATTAAATTATAAGCTTCTTGGGAAAAAAGTGGACACTTCAGAGCCATCTACTGACTATCCATCAATCTGTGTCACCTGTGTTGCCTGGCACTTTACTTTGTACACAAAAAAGCACTTGATAAATAAAGAGTGGTACAACCACATTCTTCATAAAGCTCTCTAAATCTCACATTAAAAACTTTGAGACAAATGTAGAGGTGTTGTCCTTCCTCTCATTTGGTGAAGCTTGTCTATTAAATTTTCATGCAGATCTCCTGGCCTCAGCTCCAAAGAGCTGTGGGAATTAGGTTTTCAACCGTTTCTTCAGGCCTATGAAGTAGAATGTTGTTATATTTATAAGGGTCTGTGGAGGCTCCCAAAACATGGCCGCACAATCATATATCAGAAACCCCTATCATAAATGAGTCGGACAGGATAAGCCAACTTGAAAGAGAAAATAAAATATTATAACCCCAACTTGAAAAGAAAATATGGTGCATGGTTTATGGCTGTGGATTATGGAGGAAGAAAGAGCTGATTTTAAGTCAAACACAGAAAAGCAGTGACACTCTTTAAACTCAATACAGTATTCACATTTCAGACACTGGACTTCAGAAAAGCAAACCTTCAGGCCCTGCTCTGGTCTATAAAATGGATGTAAAATTGCTTTTGCTACATTATTAGTGCTACATTATTAGTGTGCCATTCTAGAGGCAAGGAATGTTTAGGAAGAAAAATAACCTTGAAGTCAGAATAGTTCTTTCAAGTCAGAGTCTGTTTGTCAGAATCTCACATTGCATTTTAGAGATCTTTAAAGACTGTGGCTTTGTGAAATTCCACTGTGACGAAGTGAGACAGAAGAGGGGCTAGAAAAGATTTGTAACAGAAAAGTACATGAGCTGTCTTAGTGGTAAGTTCTGCAATGATCAGAAAAATGAAGATGGTCTGAAATAATGAGATTTCTTTGTTTCTGGAATTACATTTCTTTGAGGATGCCTCTCCTTTCCTGAGCTTCCTAGTCCCTACCTACCCACTAAGTCTTCATTGCTTGAATGTAGTGAGTCATTGACATCTGGTTCAGACACAAGGTGTCAAAATGCTTCTATGACCAAGGCTGAAAACAAAAACATTGGGCACATATGGAATCTGTTGGTCAGGCTTGTTCCAATGTAGAGGTACAAGAGTAATTTATACAACCATGGGTAGGATGCGTTGGGACTAAGACAGGATGCAGTGGAGGGGCACTTATACACTGGCTGGAGATGGGGCCAGATGGCCCCTGAGGACCTGTCCAACCCTGGTGGCACAGTTGGATCTGTTGGGTTTGCTCATCCTTGTGAGGATTCCTCTATTTCTTCTGATTTGCTTGTAATTCTTGGAGACTAGGTGAGGTGTGCTGCATCCTGCCCCACACAGTCTCACATTTTCATGTCAGTAAAACCCTGGTAGATGTCTAAATACTTTCTTTGTCTTTACATGGACATTTCAGGTCATTAAATGAACAATTCCTAATGACAGGAAAGGCAGAGCTTAACTGCAGTAGGAAATGAAGACAATGATTTGAATTTTTCAGGCTGAGAAAGATTGTCTCGTGGTCTGACTTGAACTGACTGAATCCATCCATTCATTGTTCACTCACTTGCTCACTATTCACTTACACATTCATTCAGCAAATATTTTTTAAGTGCCTTCTGTGTGTCGAGCACCAAGGACTTGACCATTGCCCAGTTTTCCATTTCAGTGTCTGTCTAGGCAAGTGATTTATCACCACTTTGGGACAATGAAGGTGAGTAGAAGAGAGTTTATGGAGCCACACACCAGGCAAGTCTTGGTTGTTAAAAGCGAGGCAGTTGGTCACACATCTGTCTGCCAGGCCATGTCCTATATCAACTTCAGTTTAAATCCTAAACTAAAAAGAAACTAAATAAAAGCAACAGCTGTTATTAAAAAGTAGTTTTTTAAGTTTCTAGGAATAATTAAAAAAATAGTTAATATAAAAACAACTAATACTTGTTTATTTGTTTTTAGATCACCAGATTAAAAATTGACCGAAACCCTTTTGCTAAAGGATTCAGAGATTCTGGGAGAAACAGGTAAGAATAATTGGAGAAGAAACTCACTGAAATTTCTTTTCTATGTGACATTACTTTCTAACACTTCATTGGTGGCTTTTGGCTCCAAAGTTTTGGAAAACACCTGTCACTCTGCTGATTCAGGCAAAGAGAAATGGGTAGCTGATCCAAGAACAAAAAAGCTGCCCCCTAAAGTAGAATTTTCCAAGTTCTTGGTTGACACCATCTAAAACACCACATTAAATCTCTCACAATATTTTCTCCCCTATGTCATACTTGGCGGTTCAGTCACTTAACACAAATTATATAATGATTTATTATTATCAAAGGATTGATTTTTTTTATGAAAAACAGGCTATTGTACCTATAATGATATCTCATATATTTTGCATTAATTTAATGAAGACAAGTAAACTTTTTCAGAAAATTTTACATTTGATAGTGAAAACTTTGTATGAAACATAATCATTTTTCTCCTAAGAAGTCAATCCAAAATACGTTATGTGTTTTCTGTTTTAGTGAACAGAATTAAAAAGCATCACTTTTCTTGATGATCTAATGCCTTCATTATGACTAGGATATTATATAGTAAGACTCTTAGGAATTCCTGAACATTGTAGAAAAGTTAGGTCCCATTGTGAATGGCCTTAGAGCTTATGGTGGTTTTCTGTTTGATAATTCTTTCTCCTTTATAAATTCTTCTCATCCTACCTTTTCTACATAAAATTTAAATCTGTTATAATGGAAAGTTAGGAGACAGGTGAAATGGCTTGGGAAACCAGATATCTTTTAAGGTAAATCAATCAGAAAATTTCATCTTATTTAAATGATGTTGAATCAGCAAACGTGATACATATGTCAACAACTATTTACATTAATGGTCATATATTTCTTTTAAAGATTTATTTATTTATTTTAAAGTCAGAGTTACACAGAAAGAGAAGGAGAGGCAGAGACAGAGAGAGAGGTCCTCCATCTGCTGGTTCACTCCCCAGATGGCCTCAGTGGCCGGAGCTTCACTGATCTGAAGCCAGGAGCCAGGAGCTTCCTCCAGTTCTCCCATGCAGGTGTAGGGGCCCAATGACTTGGGCCATCTTCTGCTTTCCCAGGCCATAGCAGAGAGCTGTATCCAAAGTAGAGCAGTCAGGACTTGAATTGGCACCCATATGGGATGTGGGCACTGCAGGTGGTAGCTTAACCCGCTACACCACAGAGCCGGCCCCTGGTCATATATTTTTAATAATTTCAAGGGCATTTCATTTATTTATTTCTGGATGACATGTTGTGAGGAGTTATCTTTGGCATTCTCTGTGTAAGAATTGTTAGATAAACTGGAAGCATATTTAAAATAATTTCATCAAATATGTAGTGCACTAATACAGATTTATGCTAAAATAAATTTTGATGATCTTTTTTTTATGAAATGGTACATGAAGCACTTCCTTTTTCTCTATTTTTTTTAAAAAGATCTATTTGTTTATTTGAGAGTCAGAGTTACAGAGAGGGAGGGAGAGACAGAGAGAAAGAGAGAGATATCTTCCATCTGCTGGTTCACTCCCCAATGCAATGACCAGTGCTGTGCCAGGCTGGTGCCAGGACCAGGAGCTTCCTCCTGGTCTCCACATAGGTGGCAAGGGCCCAACCACTTGGGCCATCTTTTGCCTTTTTCCCTAGGCCAGTTAACAGGGAGCTGGATTGGAAGTAGAGCAGCCAGGACAGGAAAGGTCCCTGTATGGGATGCCAGTGTTGCAGATGGCAGCTTTATCCAATGTGCAACAATGCTGGCTTGAGCACTTCTTTTTAGAATTCTTATCATAGATTTAAAATACACTTGGATTTTTATAAAATTTTATTTACTTCAAATTTTTTAAAGGTCATGTCTACTGAGTAAAGTAAAATTCACTTAAACTTACAGTTTGCAGATAGCATAATTGAGCGATCTGCTTTAGATTAAGCAACTTGTTAGTAGTAGAGCACACTAGACCTCAGGCCCATGGGCCCAAGGCCGAAGGTTGCCTCTTCAAAGGTTCTGTGCTTAAAATAACGCAGATGCCTTTAGACTCAAAGTTTAGTTAATGAAGAATGAATATCTACTCCTTCCAGGCAATTGGACCATACACTTCCTCCTCTTTTTTATTTAAAATTTTTATTTATATAAATGGAACAAATTTCATACATAGAGTTTTAAGAACATAATGACACTTCCCACCATGTCCTGCCTCCCTTCCTCACTTCCACCCTTCCTACTACTTCCTTTCTTGCTTTCTTTTAAGTTTTGTGATAATATACATTTTTTAAAATTTTTTTTTTTATTTTTTGACAGGCAGAGTGGACAGTGAGAGAGAGAGACAGAGAGAAACGTCTTCCTTTGCCGTTGGTTCACCCTTCAAGGGCTGCCATGGCCGGCGCGCTGCGGCTGGCGCACCGCGCTGATCCGATGGCAGGAGCCAGGTACTTCTCCTGGTCTCCCGTGGGGTGCAGGGCCCAAGCACCTGGGCCATCCTCCACTGCACTCCCTGGCCTGGAAGAGGGGCAACCGGGACAGAATCCGGCGCCCCAACCGGGACTAGAATCCGTGTGCCGGCGCCACAAGGCGGAGGATTAGCCTAGTGAGCCGTGGCGCCGGCCTCGTTTTTTTTTACTTTGAGAAAAAGCTTTATCACTAATTGAAGAAGCACCTAAGGAAACAAGCAATGGATTTGGGCACTTAGGCTTATCTAAAACTATGAGACATAAGAATATCCTCCATTTAATACACTATATAACAAAGTAAATCTTTGAGAACAAGTTTACTGTAACTATCATAATACAACTCTTTGAGGACAGAGCTCCTGCATAGGAAGTTAGTGATCAGTGATTCTTGTTGATTTAGCAATTAACACTGTTATGTATGATGTCAGTGATCACCGGAGGTGCTTGACATGAGCTGCCTAGGCTATGCCTGCTTTACAATGCTGTGCATTTGGGCTTAGTGAGGATATTGTTAGTTATAAGGATCAAAAATGGAAGCTGCCCTTTCATAAACAGCCACTGGGTCTTTCATAAGCCTCCAGTGATTCTTTGTGACAGGACATTCACATGGGGTTATTTCTGGAGGTAGGGCATGTATGACAAGCGTGTTTAAAATCTTTAATTTGATGGGGCTGGCATTGTGGCATAGTCTGTTAGGCTGCCACCTGTGACGCCGGTACCCCATTTGGGTGCCGGTTCATGTCGTGTCCTGGCTGCTCCATTTCTGATCCAGCTGACTGCTAATGGCTTGGGAAAAGCATCAGAAAATGGTCTAATTGTTTGTGTACCTGCCATCCATGTGGGAGACCCATATGAAGCTCTTGGCTGCAGCCTGGTCTAGTGCTGGCTGTTGCGGCCATCTGGGGAGTGAAACAGCAGGTGGAAGATCTCTCTCTGTCTCTTCCTTTCTCTCTGTAATTCCGACTTTCAAAATAAATAAATAAATAAATAAATAAATCTTTAAAGTCTTTAACTTAGAGCTCATGGATGGATTTCAAGTCCTCTGTGAACTCCTGTGTATTAAGTAAAAGCATGTGTGGATGAACAACTGTGTATTTTTCTGGGGAGAAGTCTAAAACTTCCTTCAACTTTTCAAAAATGTCTATGATCAAAGTTAAGAACTTCTGCTCCAGACATAGCTATCTTTTTCTAGGGGCCAAGACTACTGATATTAATTTTTCAATCATTTCTTTCTTTTTCCTTCCATCTGTGTTTCCAGTAGCATTTGGTGGTATGTATTTATTTTCTTCTTAGCATTTGGAAATCGTTTTCTGTGCCTTTTTCTCTCATTGAGTCATGTTTTTTAGAGTTTTTGGTCACTTTTTCTGAGCCTGATTTTGTTTCCTTAGTTAGTTCTTTCCTATTAACAGGTATGCTTTCCTTGGAAATTGCCATCCAGGTGTACTTCGACCACTTATTTTCCATATTGCTCAGGCAGTGATATAGTGCAATATTACATACTGCAGTACATATGTAAATTATTGCTAAGTGCTTAGAATAAGAATATTTCAGGTTGGGGGTTTGAGTGACAGTGGCAGCCGTGTTTTTAGGGTGACCACAGATAATCTGTCTGACAGGATTCCATGAATGATGTAAGAGAAGCTTCCAAGGCTGTACTTGATTACAGGTAGAGGAAACAGCAAGTGGAAAGACAAGCATATGCTAGGTATATTTGTGCAGCATCAGGGAAACCCTGTGGCTACAAAGTATGGCCCCTGCCCAGGAACGTGGCTGGGCAGCATGAGATGGAAAGTGCAGAGGCATGACTTAAAACAGCAAATTGGAATAGTTTCTGTTGATCAGTATTAGAACTTTGCTTGTAGGATTGGAACCTCACTTTGACCTTGAAAACAAGACTACTGCATATTGAAGGATTTGCTGCTGGTCGGGAAGTGTGATGGCATCTCAGCTGAAGTGTTGGGGGCCTCCTGTCTCCTCACTGGTTTAGAAGGGACCTCAACATATCTTTTGCTCCTGGCCTGTGCCAGTCTGAGTGTTGGTGTGTGTCTGTGTTACTGTTCAGAGCAGACAGTTATTTTTCTGTTCTGCCTGGTGGGATGCTCTTTTCCATAAAGAATCCAGGAAAGGAAAATTATGGATCTTTATTAGTTCATTTTAATGTTCTATTTATTTTTTCTTATTCAATTTTACAGATCCCCCCCCCCCCCATCTCTTGAGAGCTCTCATGTACTGGTTCATTCCCCAAATGCCCACAGCAGTTGGGGATGGTCCAGGGCTGAGGCCAGGAACCAGGAACTCCATCCAGGTCTCCTACCCTTGTGACATGAAACCTAGCTGCAGTCAGGAGCAGAACTGGGACTCAAATCCAGGATCCCTGAGGGTATGTGGGTGTGTCCCAAGCAGTATCTTAGCTACAATACCAAATGCTTGTTCCCTAGAACATGAGCATTTTAACCAGCATCTTAACTGCTGGGCTAAATGGATACCCCCCTCCTTTTGATAGCATTTGTCCCATCAAAATCTGCAGACTGCTTTCAATACTATGTGTG